ACCAGAGTTGCTTAATGAGTCAAATTATTTTAAATATGAAAGTTGTCAAACATTTTATTTCAATATACAGGATTGATTTTTTTCTATGAAACTAAATAAACTTACTACACTTAAACTTAGATTCCACTACCCTAACCTTAGCAGTCTGATATTTCTCAATGCTACCTACCATAGGCAAAACTAAGCCAAAGTTAGAAATTAATGTTTTAAATATAATATATTATTATGGGGTAACAAAGTGCTTTTTTTAAGTAAGCATGGCATAGTAAGCCATGCTTACTAGACACTGCAGTTTTTGGCTATTAGGTACATTAGATTACACACACACACACATAGTGTGTGTAATTACCTAAGTGTAGTTACAGGATGAGAGCTACGCTCGTGGTGTCCCGTCTTCCCAGCACTCTGTCATATAACGCTTTGAAACTACTGACGGTCTTGGCCTCCGTGTGTGTGTGTGTGCATATTTTTATATATATATATATATATATACACATATATACAGAGCACCACTTGGTTTCCGAACTTTAGTTATCCGAAACTTCCAGTTTCCCGATTGGGGTTGGGGAGTCATGCCAAGGGGTCCGCCAAGAGTCACGCTGGCTTGTGGTGGTGGGTGGGAGATGGTCCAGTTTGCCAACTGTGACTTCACAGATTCAAGGCCTATTATTCCTATTATTTTGAATTGCCATAAGACTGGAATGTTCATTCTGTGCTTTTGTTTTACATATCTGCACAATCAAGAAACATCTGTGCACCATGTCGGCTCCAATTGCACGCATTGCGTCAGTGATGGCTGACCGGTGGATGGATGAGGGAGCTTAGGTGGGAAGCAGTATGAGAGAGGGGGGGGGGGAGAATCAGTGAGAGAGGGGGAGAATTAGTCAGAAAGGGAGGGAGAGAGATGCTAAGAGGGAGGGGGAGGTAGGGAGAGATGCTAGGAGGTAGGCAGGAAGGGACGGTAGTAGTGAGAATTAGGGAGGAAAAGGCAGGCTGGCAGGCACAGGTAGGCAGGCACAAGCAGGCAGACAGGCAGGCAGGGAGTGAGTGGTAGTCACGCGGTTGAACCGCGTGACCTTGAGAGTATGGGATGTAGGGGGGCGGGTGGTTTGTCGGTGGTGGGGGCGAGACCGGCTCATTCTCGAAGATAAGCCTAACACACACTACCCGTTAGCATGATGGCAGGGAGGGAGGGAGGCAGGCTGGGAAGGAGGGAGGCAGGCAGGCAGGCTGGGAAGGAGGGAGGCAGGCAGGCTGGGAAGGAGGCAGGCAGGCAGGCTGGGAAGGAGGCAGGCAGGCAGGCTGGGAAGGAGGCAGGCAGGCAGGCTGGGAAGGAGGCAGGCAGGCAGGCTGGGAAGGAGGCAGGCAGGCAGGCTGGGAAGGAGGCAGGCAGGCAGGCTGGGAAGGAGGCAGGCAGGCAGGCTGGGAAGGAGGGAGGGAGGCAGGCTGGGAAGGAGGCAGGCAGGCAGGCTGGGAAGGAGGCAGGCAGGCAGGCTGGGAAGGAGGGAGGGAGGCAGGCTGGGAAGGAGGCAGGCTGGGAAGGAGGCAGGCAGGCAGGCTGGGAAGGAGGCAGGCAGGCAGGCTGGGAAGAAGGCAGGCAGGCAGGCTGGGAAGGAGGCAGGCAGGAAGCGATATATGGGTGTTGAAGTGAACTGTGAACCACGTGACCTTTGAGTGTGTGTGTGTGTGTGTGTGTGTGTGGGGGGGGGGGGGAGGTGTGTTGGTGGTGGGCGAGGGACCGGCTGACTCTGTAAGCCTAACCACACTCCACAGACTTGTGACCCAGATTTGTTTCTTAAATGTACAGTACATCATCGTATATTTTTGGCAGGATGTGCCTGCAGGCTGGCAGGATGTTCCTGCAGGCTGGCAGGATGTTCCTGCAGGCTGGCAGGATGTTTCTGCAGGCTGGCAGGATGTTACTGCAGGCTGGCAGGATGTTACTGCAGGCTGGCAGGATGTTCCTGCAGGCTGGCAGGATGTTCCTGCAGGCTGGCAGGATGTTCCTGCAGACTGGCACATCATGTTTCTGCAGGCTGGCAGGATGTTTCTGCAGGCTGGCAGGATGTTTCTGCAGGCTGGCAGGATGTTTCTGCAGGCTGGCAGGATGTTTCTGCAGGCTGGCAGGATGTTTCTGCAGGCTGGCAGGATGTTCCTGCAGGCTGGCAGGATGTTCCTGCAGGCTGGCAGGATGTTCCTGCAGGCTGGCAGGATGTTCCTGCAGGCTGGCAGGATGTTCCTGCAGGCTGGCAGGATGTTCCTGCAGGCTGGCAGGATGTTCCTGCAGGCTGGCAGGATGTTCCTGCAGGCTGGCAGGCAGGCTGGCAGGATGTTACTGCAGGCTGGCAGGATGTTCCTGCAGGCTGGCAGGATGTTCCTGCAGGCTGGCAGGATGTGCCTGCAGGCTGGCAGGATGTTCCTGCAGGCTGGCAGGATGTTTCTGCAGGCTGGCAGGATGTTACTGCAGGCTGGCAGGATGTTACTGCAGGCTGGCAGGATGTTCCTGCAGGCTGGCAGGATGTTCCTGCAGACTGGCACATCATGTTCCTGCAGGCTGGCAGGATGTTCCTGCAGACTGGCACATCATGTTCCTGCAGGCTGGCAGGATGTTCCTGCAAGCTGGCAGGATGTTCCTGCAGGCTGGCAGGATGTTCCTGCAGGCTGGCAGGATATTCCTGCAGGCAAGCTGGCAGGCAAGCTGGCAGGATGTTCCTGCAGGCTGGCAGGATGTGCCTGCAGGCTGGCAGGATGTTCCTGCTGGCAGGCTGGCAGGATGTTCCTGCTGGCAGGATGTTCCTGCTGGCAGGCTGGCAGGATGTTCCTGCTGGCAGGCTGGCAGGATATTCCTGCTGGCAGGCTGGCAGGATGTTCCTGCTGGCAGGCTGGCAGGATGTTCCTGCTGGCAGGCTGGCAGGATGTTCCTGCTGGCAGGCTGGCAGGATGTTCCTGCTGGCAGGCTGGCAGGATGTTCCTGCTGGCAGGCTGGCAGGATGTTCCTGCTGGCAGGCTGGCAGGATGTTCCTGCTGGCAGGCTGGCAGGATGTTCCTGCTGGCAGGCTGGCAGGATGTTCCTGCTGGCAGGCTGGCAGGATGTTCCTGCTGGCAGGCTGGCAGGATGTTCCTGCTGGCAGGCTGGCAGGATGTTCCTGCTGGCAGGCTGGCAGGATGTTCCTGCAGGCTGGCAGGCAGGCAAGCTGGCAGGCAAGCTAGCAGGCAGGCTGGCAGGTTGTTCCTGCTGGCTGGCAGGTTGTTCCTGCTGGCTGGCAGGTTGTTCCTGCTGGCTGGCAGGTTGTTCCTGCTGGCTGGCAGGCTGGCAGGTTGTTCCTGCTGGCTGGCAGGATGTTCCTGCAGGCTGGCAGGAAACATCCAGAGGATGTTTGCCAGACGTCATAATAGTCAGTTAGGAACAATTAAGGACTTTTATAAAGCGGATCAGGACTTCACTTATTGGTGAGTACAAACAAAACACGGTCGCATTTACGCTATGAACCTGTCGATTTTTTCCACTAGGGTTTTTCATAAATTTTTCTAAAAAAATTCTTTTTACATTTCTAGTTTATTTTTTCCCCTCTATTTCTCGTATACGAACTTACATGTTAACCGACGGGTCTCGTCCCCAAGGGGTTCGGAAACCAAGTGGTGCTCTGTATATATAAAATAATGAACATGTAATGCAGGGATTAAACTAATGACCACAGGTCCTGCAGGCTTATTCAGTTCTATGACTTGCACAACAAAGAGGTATAAGTTCTGTACAGTGGAAACAAGCTTCATTGAACCCATTCAACTGCAAAAATCATACAAATTTCTTTTTTTTGTAATTCATCAAGTGATAAGATGCAGTGGAAATGGTATCCATTAAAGTGCCAACATTTTTAAGATTTTAAAATAAACATTATATTTAATATTAGCACTTATCAAGTTCAGATTATGTTTAATGTGTCGTCTACTGATTTACTTGATTGCTTGGATGATGCCTCAATGCACCTTTCAATCTGAAATATATTGTATCCTCAAATTGGTCCATTAATCATTGTCATGATGAAGCAAAGGCCTTTATACTCTATTCACAAGCACTGTATTAAATACCCCACATATCCACAGGCTGTACTGTACATATGCACAGTGCGGTACTGTATTTATAAATTGTGACTGAACTCCCATACTTGCACTGTGTGTATAACTACAGCTATGCTTACAAAGTTCAATCTTGAGGAATGCTTGGAAGAATCTTTAGCCCACAGCAGTGATGTTTTCTCAACCTTACATTGTATCTGGTTGACTTCATGATTATGAGTTTGAAATGGAAGCAAGAGTGAAGATTTTAAGACGAGAACGTCTTGGTTAAGTAAACAAACATCGAGAAAAGAAGCGGACAGTAATAAATAGCAGCTTATTGAAAAGTTGACCAGACCACACACTAGAAGGTGAAGGGATGATGACGTTTCAGTCCGTCCTGAACCACTCTCAAGTCGATTGTGAGAATGGTCCAGGACGGACCGAAACGTCATCGTCCCTTCACCTTCTAGTGTGTGGTCTGGTTAACATTCTTCAGCCACGTTATTGTGACTCATTGCCTGTAGCTTACTGGAAGTGTTGTTTCAATGTTACAGGACCAAGGAATGAACCGAAAATGATCTTACCCAAGGGAAACGAGGAAGATAACACAGTGCCTATAGAAAGTGAAGAGCTTAGGGGAAACCATGCATAAACTTGAAGCCTACTTTAAAAAGTTATGGAGAGAAAAACTGAGTTTAATGCAACTGCAACGACTGCCACTTTCAGTTCGTGAAAAACCCACACTTAAGACTTTTCGTAGACAGCTGCTAAGGGACCTCGCATAGAGGCAGCTGCTTCAGGTTCAAGCATTGAACATTTTCTGCAAGTTCCGGTAAATTGAGCACTCCAACTCGCCAGTAACAAATTTTTCTACTTCTGCAACTGTGCCACCTTCTTAAGACTTAAACAAAAGCAAAACTCCTTTAGGGTAAGCAAAAGTATTTATTTCATTTTCTTTATTCCAGAGATGTACTCATGGTATCCACAAAAATGGGTTATCCATCTGCTCGAGTCCGACCCCCTGTGGATGCGATATAAATGCCTGCAGTTCGAGCCAGACATTGGTTATTATTGTATCTTTTTCTGTGTAGTATTAAAGACCACTTATTTCCAAACACTGTATTTTGATACCAAAATCAATGTTTTAAGCCTATAGATAGTTTTCAAAACTAAAAAAAAAGGAGTGCTGTAATGTATAAACTTTTCTGATCATAAATTATGGTTAAATTTCAAAATTTATTGAATATGCATTATTCAAGATCTGTTGTGCTGTTTCTACATCAATATAGATCAATTATTTGAACACAATATAGGTGTATATATATACAAAACAAGATTGATGACCATAAATAACTATGCAACTGCCTCGTACATCTGACTGTCTATGGTTTTGTTATGCCTAAACTGAAATAGAGATCATTAATTTATATACCTGTACATTGATTTTAAATGAAGTGTTCTAACAGAAAAATAAGTTCTCAACCAGTAAATGAGCACATATAAATATTACACACATTGCTGAGTGAGTGGTTGAAGGGTAGTAGTTCACTCTGGACATTAAAACTGGCCTCACCCCTGGAACATGAAAATGTTAAAACTTATATTTTCAAATGACTTCAGCATAAAATATGTACTAATGTGTGTGTTCCATCATCTCTACAGATAAATGTAAAAATTGTCCCAAAATAGCAATGAACGAGTATAATGGAATATCAGTTACAAAGGAAGGAGTCTAGAATTTATCGGTGTTTGAGCAGTTTCCACTGTATTAGAACCAGAAAATCTAGGTCTACTGATCTCACTGGAGTAATTTTTCCCAGTTCTAATATTTATATCTGTAGTGCAACTGACAGCATGTGTCTGGGAGACCCGAGACCACGAGTTTAGTTTCTGCATTGTTCTTTTGTCTTGAAAGTGTTACATTCAATCCATTGTGATTTTCATTTATTCTATACACATTGGAGTTCAGAGATCATAAACCCTAATTTTATTATAAATTGTATTAATTTTTGAAATATATAAATTGTATATAATTATAATAACAAACATTACACTTTGAAGTTCAAGTTTTTATCATTCTTTTGATATTTGGAACTGGATAAGCAGTGCAACAGACCTTAAAATGATTTCAACATATTAAATCTTGGATTATTTAAAATTTTTATATATTTTTCCCTATTATAATTTTTTTTTGTAACGAGGCAGGACATTATTTTTACATCAGTAATATATGTGGCAGTCCCATAAATGTAACAAGATTATAGGGCAATTTCTTGTATACTGCACCAAGTGATGGCTATCATGCCAGCTTAGTGTTTACCATACACCAAGAATCGCATATTGTAACTGTATTACGTAGTGCCTACATAGTACAGCCCATTGCTACATATACAGTAATGTACAAAAAAAAAAAAAAAAAAAGACTGACATACATACCTGCAACACTATATCCAGTTTAAGATAAAAATGTAAAAGAAAGCACCAATAGTTTGTGCCCATTTTGTGCCTCTTTCACAAGGTAGAGATAGAAACAATACTGTTATTAAAAGAAAATTAAAATTAAAATGCATAATGCAATAATATAAACCAACTCCTCAGGAAAAAAAACTTGCTCATAATGACACAATTCAACCCCCCCCAGGAGTGGTGTATAAAGCAGAAATTGAGACTAAATATTCATCCAAAATAAATTTTTAAAGCACTTAAGTGTGCATTGTTCTGCACATTATTTCTGTGAAAAACTGTATCAGCCTAAGCATATAATTACCCAATTCATTCCTTATCAGACACAATGTACTGTTGGAAATGTGACTTGTCAGTTCATCTTTGTGAAATGATCAGCAATTAATAACCTTAAATATATTTTGTATTAAATTCTTTCCAATCTACAGCTGGGAGTAATAGCCTTGGAGAACTAGAATCAAAGGCTAAAATATTGCTGATCCAATCACTTTTTATTAAATACTTCTACAATGGACAAGAGTACACTATATACAGATCATCCAGTCTAAATAAAAATTATCAGAGTAAAGTCCGAGACAGAAGAAATTTCGAGCAAAATTATCTATGAGAATATAGCAGTAGGATTGGGTGATATATTACATAGTATATATACTAGCCAAGAGCAGAGGAGTTAGTGACCCCTCATAATGCCTTACATACAGTTGTGATGTCGAGTGTCCAAGCTATATCACTTATCACAGGACCTATACAAGTTACAAGAGATGCACAAATCGAACCTGCCAGATTAGGCAACATCACACTATGGTCTTATAATCTGGTACCAAACTCCAGTCAGGCTATGATTTTTTTTTTTTAAAGATTGTTTATCAGATAATGTCTTCTCTGATGTTTGTATTACTCATTCCTAGCTAGGTTGAGTATCACACTGGTCTTTACTGTAAACACTGCTAACTATGCTATATAATGCTTTGGTGTTCACACAACTTGCAACTTCATTAAAAAATGCTTATTCACATCTGTATCAAACACCATTAGCTATATCTGTATTCATGTTCACATAACATTTTATATTCATCTTGCAAAAGTCAATTATGTTTTTTTGTATTTGACACCTCTAATCATATCTTATAATTCTATAAGTTTACATTAATTCATTTTAAATGAGATGAATGTAAAACTACACCCTTATGCAATCAGACGGTAATAAAATGGCTGACTGTTTCAGCCTATTTATTTTCTTCACTTGACTGAGAATGTATTGTATTGTATTTTACAAATAATGTCAGTGCTTTGTTTTGAAATCTCCATAGTATTATTGTAATATTTTTTCTACTTTAAACTAAATCACTTCTTACACCCTACGTCTTCTCATGCTTGCTAACGTCCCATTGAGTATTGCCAGCAGTGTCTCATGACTCAATGATTTGATTTACACGACACTAGCTACAGAATACTTTGATTACGGGAGATTTACCGAAGGAGTAGAAGTGTCTCTTGGCACTAGGGTGGTATGTACATAATACTGGCGGTGAGTGGGGGACTAGAACGAGACTCTGTATGGGACTCTTAGAGCTCATATTAATTCCGTCTATCCCACGCTTGGCCAGCCCACCTATGCACTTCAAGTGAATGCAAAGCTATGGTGAGGCTATGACTCAAATTCTCAGCACTGTATACAGGGAAACTTGAGTACTGTACTTAAAAGGGGGGCTGGGGAATTGCAGGGAAGGAGGGGGGGCAGGCACCTCACAGGTACACCTTCTTGACAGAGCGGGTGGTTGAGTATCCATCAACCAGCCTGTGGTCATAGTCTCGTGGCCGATGATCACGGCCCCTTGTTCCGTACTTCTCTGATGAGCGCAGAGTTCCATGGGTAGAGTACGACTCTGGTGTGTAATGCAATGGAATATCATGGGGTCCTGCCGACACTCCAGTGGTAGGAAGCCCTAGAGATGGTCCCATGGGGGCTCCTACAGTCCCCATATTTCCTCCAGGAGTGTTGGATCCAGGTGTTTTTAAAGTAGCCTTCGGAGACATGTTCAACACAAGATTTACAGGTTTATTGAGAGCCTGGGGAACCAAAACAGGTTCTGCATATGTTACCTCTTCTTGAAGTTCACCTGTCAGCCGGCTGTGAGAAAATAAAATATTTTCAAGAAATTTTAATGAAAATGTTATGTTAACAGCATATCCATATATGAAATAGATACTAAATGAAAAGCAACTATGGTGAAAAATAACACAAACTATCTAATCATTCAACTGACAGCAGGTTAGCACAGGGTAAATATTTCTTCCTAGCAGTACATACTGGAAACATGCATGGTCCAAGAATTTAAATATTTTCAATTGGAAAATTTAATACGGTAATGGAAATACTTGCTATATCATATATGGTAATGTTTTGAGGCAATGTATCCTGTAATTGTATATACACTGTATCTCATCACCAGGATATATACAGGGTGAGCCAAAAATTCCCCGATCAAGTAGGCCACAAACAATAAAGTTGCGTCATTTATAACATATCGTACAAATACTGAAAATGGCTCGTGTGATTTCCGCTGTATATAGTGACCTTACACACACACACACACACACACACACACACAATTTTCCCAAATTAGTGTCATTCCATTGGTTCATTGAATGCAAGCAAGTTCATGAAAGAACAAGTATTGATGTACATCACATCAGATACAGACAAGTGGAAACTTAATACCCAAAAGCCACAGACATTAGAAAGAATTTTTTCAGTGTCATAGTAGTTAACAAATGGAATGCATTTGGCAGTTATGTGGTGGAGGCTGACTCTATACACAGTTTCAAAGTAGATATGATAGAACCCAATAGGCTCAAGTTCATCCGAGTCAAATACACCAGTTGATTGACAATTGAAAGCCAGGACCAGAGCCAAAGCTCAATTTCCCCCCCCCCCCTCCCTCTCCCGCAAGCACAAGAACAAGTAAAACAAAAATTTTCAGTCGAGGCCCAAATGTTTCACAGTGCAGACCTACAGCACAGTACATTGAGTATGCAGAGGTAGTGCAATGAAAGTTTGTAGGAAAGCTTCCCAACACTAGAATGTTATTTCTTAACACAGTACAGTAGTTAAAGTATGGATGCTGCAAGATTCTAAAGTCTAATACAGAAGAAATGACAGTAATTCCTCAATTTTTCCAAGCGATGAATTCATGGACACTTGTTGCAGAGCAAATCCAACTAATTTTATGTTAATTTATGCTAATAGTATGCTCAGAGTATGCTAATATTATCATATCTAACACCTTTAATCTTTCCTCATAGTTCTTGTGTTTTAGGTTAGAGTTGAATATAGTTATTATGTGAATTTGTGTTACCCTTATACAGTATGCAAAAATTGAGGCCTCACTGTACTAGATTAGTACTGTACTTTAAAAAATGAAGCTAAAAACAAATTTTAATGTACTATATTAGGCCTCGGATATTAAGTATTAGGCCTAGGAAGGTTAGGGTTAGGTTAGTTTAGTTTGTCTTTGCAAAAACAAGTAAAAAATAGTTTTCCAGTTTGTCCAACTCAATAGTGCCAATTTCTACTTTCTAATTTTGTTGTACGTCAGTATATATACTATAGTCCTCATCATTACTATGAGTACTACCAAAACAGGAGGATGAGATATCTATTTACAACCAGATCCCCCACGTATAGTAGTAGGCATCCATCAGTCTCAGGAGACTCTGGAGTTGTGCTCTGGTTGTCGGTCTGGAGTGGCCTCTCCAGAGCGCACAGCCAGGGGTAGGTTGATGCGGAGGAGAAGCTGTTACCCAAGCAGCAGGTCCCCCCCTCTCCACAGCGCCGAAAGTCTCCAATGGAAAGAAACGCCAATACGATAGGTTCCAGCGCCGTCACAGGAACTGTGAGCTCCAGAGTTGACCTCGAAGTTGGTGAAAGAAGGCACAGGGACTCCAAACCCGGAGACTGCTGTGGCGGGGCCAGAGAAGAACCGCCCCAGCAAGGGCAAGAACTACCCCAGCCTCCTGAAGCAGAGCTTGGGCCACACAAGCCCCAGGAGGTGGACATCCCAGTCCCGTACCTACAGGTTTCAGACAGAGATCGTCACAGCCCCCTTTCATCCGAGGCTGGCCAAGACCAAGCAGAAGGAAGGGTGATAATTATTAAATATAACAATTATTATTATAATAATATAATTAATTAATAATTATCACTGAAATGACCTCAAAGTTGGTGAAAGAAGGCACAGGGACTCCAAACCCAGAGACTGCCGTGGTCAGGGCCTTAGAAGAACCACCCCAGCAAAGGCAAGAATGACCCCAGTCTTCTGAAGCAGAGCTTGGGCCACATGAGCCCCAGGAGGTGAACGTTCCAGTCCCGCACCTACGGGTTCCAGACAGAGATCGTCACAGCCCCCTTTCACCCAAGGCTGGCTTCCTTCAAGACCAAGCAGAAGGGTGATAATTATTAAATACTGTACAACAATTATTATTATAATAATAATTATCACTCTTCCTTCTGCTTGGTCTTGAAGGAAGTCAGCCTTGGATGAAAAGGGGCTGTGACGATCTCTGTCTGGAACCCGTAGGTGCGGGACTGGAACGTTCACCTCCTGGGCTTTACTGTTGCATTTCCTATCTACAGTATCTCTTCCCTGATGAGAAGGTGCTGTATGTTTAAAGTGATGTAAGCAAGTTCTTTCAACAAATGAACCAGGTGTTTGGGATGAGATCCATGGCTTCCTCTTTTTTACTGTACAGATGCTTAGTATTGTCAGTTTGAGGAGTCTCTAGATGCTTGAGGGAGAAGTGCTCATGGTTGTTCCTTTTTACTTGATGCAAAAAGTTGTTGTTGTCCCTGCTGCTCCCACAGTTGATTGGGTGGGCCTTGCCTAGTACTGGGAGTTTGAAGCAAGGCACAGCCCTTTCTTTTAAGGCCCACAGGCAGGTTGGTGAGTAAAGGCCTTGTAGAAAGGCCTACAAGGCCTTTCAGCAGGCTTGAGCCATTAACTATTGGGTCTCAAGTGTTGTTTTGGGGTCTAGCATGGACTTGGTCTAATATCTCACCTTGGTCCGATTCTCCTCGGCTGTGGGTATACATCTTCGAATCAATACCCATGATGACCAAACTACACATGAAGAAACAACAATATTTAAGTTCATCCTGGACAATTATTACTATTATTATTATTATTATTATTATTATTATTATAATAAAGTGTGATGTGCACATTTTGAGCTCTCATTCAGGTTCAACCTAGCACCCAGGACATCTCCAATAAAAGTACTTACAGTACTTGTACAATAATTGTACTTACAGTACAATTAATTATTGTGCTCTATGACCACCGTCTGCTGGGGCTCAATTTTCTTGGCCCACCTCAATGACTGACTTATTTTGGTTCCCAGTCTGTATCTTTGAATGCTAGTCCAAATTTCTACATTATCAGTCTTAAGCAAGTTTGGCTGTCTGATGAATGAGTTTAAGTCCCAGCTCCAGCCTTTGCAGTGTTTCATATGACTGAAGTTTGCTTGGAACAATAAGGCAGTCTTTATTTTTTTCTAGAGACATGAACCTAGCATGCATCTCATGTACCGTGATCCAAGTTGGTTTCTTGGATCATGCATAGGAATTTCGAGAGCCTTCTGGATGGTTTAATCTTTTCTGCATAGTATATTCCCTGGGCAACATATAGATGAAGTCATCGCCAATTAAAGTATCATGTAGTCCTCTCTTGCCTTTGAGGAGTCTCCTATTGTGATTTCCTTAAGCATTTTGTATTAATTTCCTAGAACTCCAACTCCCTCTCTAAAGCTGACAGCTGGGTGGACAGCGCTTCGGATTCGTAGTCCTGAGGTTCCGGGTTCGATCTCCAATGGAGGCAGAGACAAATGGGCAAAATGTTTCTTTCACCCTGATGCCCCTGTTACCTAGCGGTAAAATAGGTACCTGGGAGTTAGACAGCTGCTGCGGGCTGCTTCCCAGAGGGTGTGTAACAAAAAGAAGCCTGGTCGAGGACCGGGCTGCAGGGACGCTAAGCCCCGAAATCATCTGAAGATAACCTGAAGATAACCTGAAGCTGTTTACTAATGCTTCCAGCAAGAGTTTGATAACATAACTCACAATAACCAACTTTACTTCAGTCTTGTGTAATTTGAGGTCTCTTTCTGAACTACTATATATCCAATATTTCCACAACACGTATACACATTTGTAGTCATGAACAAAACAACCTTTCCCATTCTTATGTTAGCCACAAGAGGAAGCCACAAGGCAGCATTCTAGGACCTATTTCTTATAAACAACAATGAAATGCCAAATGGTTTTAACCTTAAACTTATACTTTTTGCTGATGGCACTATCTTTATTTTTCCTAGCCCCAACCCACACACTCAAAATAATATAGCAATAAGTATCCAAAACAGTTGCTTAATTTAAAAAATAGGATACCATGTGTCTCACTCTGTTCTTCTCACACTATATTACTTACTTATCCATCCCTATCTGACTATAGGTATCTGGGGCTCAATCATTGCAAACTACCTCAAGCATAAAAAAAATTTGCTAATATAACAGTTAAAAATTCTGTCTTCAAGCAATATACAGCCCCTCTCTTCAAATTCTGAAATATGTTAAACATACATTCACTCCATACAAAGCTGTATTCTTCAATATTAAACCTGATTTAATACTTTTCCTATATGGATGTGATGCAACCTATGAACATCACACCGGAAATAAATATCTATTCCCAAAGTCTGGTAAAGTCTTTGCAAATACAACTTGCAAATAAAGGTATGCGATATATGGAGCTTCTTTTCTAATGAAGCAAAAAAATTGCCTAACCAATACTTAATTCAAAAGCAAAGCAAAGAAGCACCTAATTTCCTCACCATAGTACCCAACCTTGCTACTAAATCACCTAATAATTTACTATCACGAAATAAAACTCCATACAAAATTCTCATTATCATCATTTTACCCTATTACTCATGTTACATTCAACAATTAGGTTAATTCAAATTACTCCAGTTTCTCATTGCATACCTCAGTTACTAGTTCTATTTCTTTAAGACCAACTGTTCACCTTGAAAATTAAAATTCACTGCTAATATTAGTGGCTTAGTGAGAATATAATA